CACCTGGTTAAACATAAGGTTGGGACACATTGTAGGTGATTTTCAGAAAAGTGACAGTTAGCTTTTAACCGTCTCGAGTAGGTTACCATAATAACGGGAAACTGATAGGAGTCACTTGATTATTTTGGTAACCCTGTATTTGCATAGCTCTAGGCTTAACCCTTAAAGTACTGGAATTGGATATTTATTATACGTGACATTTGTACCCTCTTCAATACAATCCCATAGTATTGGGGGATTCTAGACACACCGCGTTAGAAAGCTTTAAATATAATATAACCAAACAATAATAACGATGATGATAATATCAAACAAGCAAGGAAAGGGGAGGAGGAATATTAAAGTACTAGTAATCATCCAATACTATTTAAAAATGAAAACTTATAAATAATTTAAAGAAATTGTACAATAAGAAGTATAACTGTACCATTGGTAGTGCCTTATTTAGCAAATATAATGCAGTGCAAAGTGAATTAACAATGATGATATGTAACAATGTTTAGTGACCCGTTGGGGGGAAATAGGATATTGATGCCTAATCTGTTTTTCCCAAATTGTCCAATCAAGTTGTAAGTTGGTGTTCGCGTCTGATGGCAATCTTGTAGCTAGCTCACAGTGTTATGTCTTAAGCGAGATTTAGACATAAAGAGAAGTAGCCGATAATCTAATTTTGAAATGTGTTGCAAATTCTAAGAAATTGGCATTTGTTCTTATTTCTTCAGGGTGAGAAAATTAGAACTCTGCTTCGAGCAGCAGAACTTTGGGACATAAAAGTTGGATCTGTTGAAGAGTTCCAGGGGCAGGAATTCCTGGTGATTATTATATCCATGGTATGTAAATGCATGCAGTCTCCTAGAATTAAATACTGTATATGTTAATCTTTACAGGAAACCTACACCTAGCACAGAATAACTAATAACGGTGATAGGAGGAAGATTTCATAATAATAAGAGCCGCTATATGCAGTCATTTACTAATCACCAAGGATTCTGGAGAATTGACAAAGGAATCGAAAGGGTTGGGTCATACTGGGAATAGTCCAACTTCACTATTTTTATATAGCGTTTGTTCTCCACAATGATAGATTAGTGATTATCACCTATTATCACAACAGCACTGTGGAGCCAAGCAAAGTAAAACGTGGGGACGACCGTCCAATTTTGAGAAAGATCTCTGAAGGCAAGATTGATGACCTAGGCAGTTGTTGGCCCATAAATGGTAAAAGAGACACACTAGGCACCATGACTACCAAATATTATTGCAGAGGTTGTGATAAATGTTCTCTTGATTCAGTTAGTTTTGTCAAAAGGGGGAAAAAAACAGGCACACAAAGCCTGGCCCCTCTGTTGCTTTCAATTCCTCAATATAGTTGCACCATAACCACTATACTAATCTGCGGTGGCCATTGTGTTTAGCGTCACTTTGTAACACTGGTGGGGATTATTCAAACTAGATGCAAGTAGATCAAAATGTAGAAACCTAGTATAGAAATACATTGGCTGTGCTAGGGGAAGATCTGCCAAGTGTGTAAAATGTTACTAGTCCAAATACTAGCCAGAATTGGGAAACCAGAGATTCATATCTCCGGTTTAGACACACCAAATCAGCAGATCAGATAAACAAATCAAGGCCGGTCATATAGAAAATTAACAACATACGGAACAGGTTTAGACCTAAAATAAAAAACTTCAATAGGGGCTGAAGATAATGTGGATTCAGTTTTTATGGTCAAATTTGTCTTTCAGTCTCCTGGCCAGAACTTTAAACAGCTGAGGGCCTTCCTTAGCCTGCATTTTGAACGGCATTAACGTATTTTATATTGCTGCTTTTAAGTACTGTAATAGAAAGTGAAGAGTTAGAGATCATGTCCCGATTGAGAATTAATGTGATTTTTGATAAAACGTTTTTAAATGAAAAAACGTTTCATTGCTTTATTTGTTTTTGTTTTTTACAAAGGTGCGATCATGTGAAGATTCTCTTTATACAGATTCAAGATATTTATTGGGATTTTTGTCAAATCCCAAACGATTTAACGTTGCAACAACCAGACCAAAGGCGCTACTTATTGTACTGGGAAACCCCCACGTCCTTGTCAGGGTACGTGCACAAATACAATTATCTGTATTCATTGCAAAAATAGCTTCCAGTTCTGCCTGGTATATAATCCCTTTAAAGAACAGAACAGCCTTCATTAAGTAAATAAGTAGATGCTGGACCTTCTGGTTTTAATTATCTGCAATATCTGACGTGGGACATACTAGAACAAACACTGGCAGCCAGATAACAATTTCATGGAGATGATAAATGCCTGAAATAAACACAAGGGATGTTTAAATAGATTAAAGATTGCCCACCTCCCGAGCAATAAGACTTCATTTTGATGAAATGTCTATGTGAGCAGTTACGCTCTCGATTTACTTTATTCAGTGCATTCTATGAATGCTCTCAACGTTTGTTTATTTGTTTCATGCTATAGATCATTATAAAGCCGCACTGAAATTTTAGCACAACCAAAATACCAACTGACCGCTATTGGCTTCTCTTTGTGCTAAGAATGTAAAAAACCTTTTTAGATTTGTTTTAATTTACATTTCATGCTGAGCTTAATGGGAACAGCGTGCAAACAATATAACTTTTGTGGTGCTGTACAGGCACTGGCGCGCATGTGCTTTTGTTCAATTTCTTTGTAGATGCCGTAGCACACGTGAGCATGCCTGAGGCATCATGGGAAGCTTCGAAATGTAGATAGGATTTGTATTTGTTTTTTGTTCTGCTGTTTTATTAACCACAGTAAGTTCTGTAATTTAGTTTGGAATGAGGAACTATCGCCTCTCAGGAAAAGTGGGTGAACATTCAGTTTTTGTGAGAAAGATCCTGAAACTGTGGATTACCTATGGGTTATTTAACTGATTCTATCTTCTTCTGAAATAGGATCCGTGTATATGTGCTTTGCTTGAATACAGCCTAAAAAATGGAGCCTATACTGGCTGCAACCTTCCTCACGGCCTTGACTCTCTTCAACAGTGAGTAATCTGTCCAGGCAGTGTGAGAATTCGTGTTGTGTTGTATGAGCCCTTTAAAAAAAAAAAAAAAAAAAACTTCCATGATTTCCATTTTCACACCATCAAATAATTCGATATTGTTGTTTTTTTGGAGGGAGATGGTATTTTAGTGTGGTCTGGGTCCACAAGAAAGCTGATTGTTTTTAGTATAAGTAATAGAATTAGGGTTTCTTAAATGGTGCTGTTTGCATCAATATATAGCTAGGAAGACCAAGAAACTTAAAATAGGTTGTCATTTTGATTAAACTACTACAAAGTAACAAATATTGCACAAACAGCTGGGCAGAAAAGCACTCCGTGGCAGTCAAACCGTTGGACCTTTGTGGCAATGCATTGTTGGATAACTTGGTGAAGTAGCAGATTTCACCGGTTGTCCAACACAATACAGGTGAACCCACTTGGGAAAAGCTTCCAATTCCAAGTGATTTTTTATTTTTAACATTTTTAAGCAAAAATTCAGTCATTTTTGGCAGTGATCCTCATGTATTTTTTAATTGTCCTTAAATGTAATGAATATGTGTAATTGCTACATTTTCATATGGTGTTGATGGAGAGAAGCACCATTGCAATAGCAAAGTGATTCACAAAAAGTGACATTAAAAAGAATTAATTCCCTTTGGCCAGTATGGGAAGTAAATATAATATTTCATAAAGAATATAAACAATAGTGATTTAACCCTGAGCCACCTGACATCATTCTTTAGAGCATTCTAATGCTTTATATTGGATTTAATGAAAAATGGAAAGTACTTAGTCCATAGTACTTGTTATATTCAGGATGTTTGCAGCCAGTAATGTACATTTGTTTATATCCCGTAAAAGTGTTTGTGTTTCTTTAAATGGGAACGGTCACGTTGCAGGATTTTTAACATTAGGTTTATATATCCCTATACTTAACAAATATACATTTGTACGGTGTGGAAAATAAAATAAAATGCAGAAATCCGCTCAACTTTATCTCCATCTTGGCTCCCTGTCAGGCATTGTTATAAGCTTTCTTCTTTACACCTGGTATGTTACCCCAGCTTTGCCTTGTCTGAGCTGTATTATGTCATTTGCTAAAATCTTTACTATAAATTTAATGATAATGAAGCACATCATAAAAAGTTAACACTAGTTAGTGATTTTCACAGCCTTGTTCAATATGGCGAATTCCAGAGAATCTGCAGTTCCTTTTTGTGCAAAACATTAAACAAGGGTTTTTTTCACCAAACTGATTATAAAAACTTGGCAACAATCTTGTTAAATGTAAAGTAAATAGCAGTGTTGGGAAAAATCTAAATGTGTTGAAAATGTACCTCCCCATCCCACTCCCCCCCCCCATGTAATTGCAAATTTTAGGCGAAAAAAGCATATTTATACATTTTAAAGTGTGCAATTCTTGTGTTAACATTTAATTTCCAGTTTAGAGAATCGACAAAACGATCTGCTTTAAGAATTATTTGTACCCAATGAGCCGTATGAAACGTGTCATTCCATTCACTCCGTTTTTGTAACAAACTTTCCTTATTTCTTTAGATAATGCCTCTATATTGTGTATTATTGTCCATACAGGTGCGATTAGTCTGAGCTCCTAACAACCTGGTTAAAGATTTGTACTGAGACCGAAGCAGTCAATGCAAACTAAGAGATGATACCAGCTCTTCGCATGCTGTAAGAGGAAGGGGTTTCCCTTAAAACTGGTCGTGTTTTTTTTTGCTTTGTTTTTTTTTTTACTTATTCACAAGTTTATGTTTACAGATATTTGAACAAAAATAAAGGTATAGATCTTGCAATGTCTTCATATACTGTATGATACCAGTGTGCTTTTTCTTGGCTTTGCAAGACATGCAATTTAAAATAAATAAATGAAAAAAAATGGGTCCCCCTTTAATTAGTTTTGTGATTTAAAATATATAGTTGTGGTATTATATGTGGCTTTTTGTCAGCAAGTCATGTCATATTTTAATTTGTTGTATTTAAACTAGATATCTAGAGCACAGCTTCAGAGATCAACCTTATCCCCAACTAGTCTAAGCTTCTCAATCAGTCTGTAAGCTGCACGAGGCATGTGATATACGCCGTGTCACTTTAATATTACAAAACAGGGCATGCAATATAGACTTATACACTCATGGGAAGAGTACAGGGCATGTAATATTAACCTAGTCATTGTAACGTGCAGGGAATGCCGTCTAGAACTTAAATCTTGTATTTTCTAGAGCATGTGTTGCAGATCTGTGTTAACATCCAAGTCTGTCCTCTCCTTGTGATTCATAAATGTTTTTTGTTCTATAAATAATTGATGTAATGCCTTAATAAAGCATACTAAAAGTTAAATCTGTTGTATTGTATTTTATTTTTTTGTAGATTTTTTTTTTTTTAAATTTATTTAGGTCTTGTTAGTTTAATTAATATACCGGTAAGCATCATTAGTTTATCCCCTTCCTATGTACAGTGCGATGACATGGTGCTGGAAGACAGCATTCCGCTGCATGGTAGGAGTTCTGGGCACACTGTCTGTTTCAGGGCTCTCTTGTTCTGTATTTTAACCATTCAGATTGTGACTGCAGCTTTTGTTTCAATGGGTTTTAATAAATTATTGTGCATAAAGGCTCTGCATGGGAAAAGCCAGCAGAATGCTTCGATAGGTCTGCTTACCTCTATATATTTATGCAGATGTTGCCTGTCACACAGTAGCCATATTCTTACCACTTTTCATATGTTTTAGCCTTGTCCCCTGAAATACGCTAGAACGCGTTTACATCCTCCCTGTACACTTTCTGGCATTTCATTGGCTTCTTTAATATGCTAATAATGGTGAACCTATTAGTTTGCTGCAATGTAAAAATGGTTGCAATATTGCCAATTTTTTTGCAATGCCAATTTTGAGTTGTCAACTTTTTATAATTATTTTATATATCTCTCTTTCTCTCTCTATCTATATTATATAAAATTCCCTCAAGCTACGTGACTTTAACTGTTTTAAAGTGGTTGTGGTGCCTGGAGTCCGTATGTGCAGTGTTTCAATATTTAAACACCTTTACTATTGGGGGTGTAACTGCACCTCTATCGCTGTCATCAACCAGCCCAGAACTAGAGTAATGTCAATTCTCTGCATAACCATTGGCTTTGGAAGAGGTGAGTGGGTCGTCAGTTGTTCGTGCCCCCCTCACTTTTCATGAGAAAAATAAGTGACTGTGCATTGGTTTGCAAAAACAAACTGTTATGGTCATCTTCTCCCAACTGTGTTTTGCGGAAGAAGCAGGTGTGGGCCACACAGGGCAAAATCAATACAATGAAAAGCATTTTAAAAATGGGGGACCAACAGAAGGCAGAATTATCTTAATTTGTAAAGAGATTTTTTATTTTATTTATTTTTTTTAAACTGAAAGACAAGTCTTGATAACCCACTCATCCCTGCCACCCCAAGAAGAACAAAGCTTTTCCATACAGTCTGTGGTGTGTAGTGACTTTCAGTGTGAGAAAAAAATTAAAACAAACAGCAGCCACTTAGCCACTCTCAGGGCTGTGTTTTCTCGCAAAGGAATTTGCCTTGGGCGGCAATTGCCGATGGGGGCGGGGTGAAAAAACTGCCCCAAGCTCCCTGACATATGCCTTGTTAGCCCGAGGGAGGCCCAAGAGCTGGCAGGGAAAGAGATAATCCACGCAAGCACTCACAAGGAAAGGGAGGCTGGGTGGATAAAAAAATATATATAATTTGTTAGTGTGTAAGTATGTGTGTCTGTCAGGGAGTGTGAACTTGTGTTGGCTGAACTGTGATGTTTTGTATAAATTAGCCAATAATTCCTGTATAACAAAGTATTGACTTTATTAATACATATATAACAGCATCTTCATATTGCTACCTTGTTACACAGGGTTTCAAATCCCTCGAACATTCCACCAACTGCCAACAGGAAGTAAAGAACCAAAAGAAAGGAAGTGCATCATTCACAGCCAACAACAGCCCAACGCCCATACATCACAATACATACACTCTCACACTCATACACAGTCCAACCGCCCATACATCACATGAACAGTGTGTTTGTCAGTGTATGCATCAGTGTGGGTGTCTGTCAAAGTGTGGCTTGGTCTTAAACAGGAAGAGGTGTCCCCCTGACAGGAAGGGGTGGGACAGATTTAGATTGGGGGTGTTCAGGGCTGGCCTTAGGGGTGTGCGAGCTGTGCAGCCGCACAGGGCGTCATGGAGCAGGGGGTGCCCTGCGGCTGACACAGCTCACACATGGCCGGCCGGAATTAAAAAAAAAAAAAAAAATGTGGCAGGGGTGGGGCTTCCTTGCGACAGAGCTAAAAGCGCCGGTTTACTGCTGCAGGGGAAGCAGAAAGGAGTCCCTGCTTTGCCACCAAACAGTCTCCAGGAGCTGCACTGCCTCCACAATGAACTCCACAGGTAACTGTGTGATTGTCAGTGAGTGTGACTGTCTGTGTGTGTGTGTGTGGCTGTCTGCCTGATCCTGTGTATGTGACTATCTGCCTGCGACTGTGTGCATGTGGTGGATTTGACAGTGTATATGTATAACTGTGTGCACATAACTCTGCAAAAATACACACCTGCATTCACACAGGCTTAAATGCATGTTTTATTTCTGAATTAAATAACCATCACACAAAGTCAATAAACCCAGCACAAATATCACATACAACCAATACATGCATATCACACACTGTTAATGCACCCATTACAAATATCACATACAGCCAACACATAGCATACATATCACACCTACTATTACATACACAGACAACACAAACATAACATCATACATGGATGACAGGGGTGGGGTGGGGCACTGTGAAGATTTTTCGCACAGGGCGCCTAAAGCCGGCCCTGAGGGTGTTGCCTGAGTTTTGTCATGCATAGGGCAGCACAAAACCAAAATGCACCACTGACCACTCTTGAAGACTCAGCCAGGTAGGGTGAGACCAAACCACTATAATTAGACATGAAAACATTAAAACAATCACCACCACATTTTAGAATACTTTATATTTTGAGTCCATCTCCATTATTTTATTAAAAGTCCTCACTTTTGTTTTACAGGCCGCATTCCCATGAAATATGGCCATCCTAGAGCCCCAGTTGCCAGTTATCTATTAGTAGTTCCTACCTGTTGCATGGCAGATGTATGTTTAACCCCTTAAGGACGGCGGGCGTTCTATGCCGTCCTTAAGGAAGCGGCTCTAAATGCTGCAGGGCGACATAGAACGCCCAAAACTGTCCTTTCTACTTATCGCGGTATGGGGACTCGCCTGGGAGCCTCTTCGGCCTGGGCCTCGCGATCACATGGACGGCATAGCCAGCAAGGGGAGTGCCTGTAATGACAGGTACTCCCCCTGCTGTCTAAAAAATAATAATAACCGTTTAAAACAGTGTAAAATGAAACAATATATACTTAGATCATATATATGTATTAAGGCCTTTTGGCCTGTAATTGTGGGAGGGGCGTATGACTCACCTTCTCCCTACTTAAGGGACACCCCTTACCTGGCTCCATACCGTTCGAGGTCAGCGCTGCATCGAGAATCCACTTCCGGTTCACGTACGGCGCCATCTTGCTTTTCAAAAACCCGCGGTTTTCGTTTGGTGTAGCTGTGTCCAGGAATCCTTACAGGTTTTCCGCCCGTTCAGCCACGCACATACCCGGTGTTTTCGTCGCAGATTAAGTCCACAGGACTTCAAAATCGTAAGTCCGTCGCCCGGATCATTTCCCACGGCGTCGCGATTTAAAACGGCCTTACTTTACGGCCACACGCTTTACGGCCAAGTCACAGGCATATTAACCCCTTTGCTGCCGGCAGGCATATCGGTTTCGGTTTTTCTTTGTATTAAGCAAATTCGTTCTGCATATCATCAGCTATAATTGGTTTCATGTCATTTACTGTTATTTAGCTTATGCAAATTACGAAATCCTTGCATATGACTGGGGCAATACCCCTGTTAACTACTTATGAATAAGTATTTATTTAGGTTATGGTTTAATCTTAGCAGATATGGCATTATTAAAGTTTTATTGAAATTCTTCATGTTATATACATATATTTATGGAGTTAAGCTTAGACAAGCCTTTACATTTTACAGATGTCGCTTGTAGGATTTACGTTATAAATTATGTTTAGAAATTACGTTTCTATCATACCATGTACTCACGTTTCTTACATGGCACTTATATATTCTGACTTTTTCTTTGTGTACTCAAACGACATACCAAGTACACAAGAACACGGTCTCACAAATCTCACAAACTCTCGGGTTGAATCACACGTCTTGATTCAACCACTCATACGTCACGTTGTTTCCAATTTTGGGATAACTTCTCAAATATTTCTGTACCTCGTACTTACCTCTTTTCATGGCTTACGTTTACGGCCTAACATATACGGTATTGTTTTAAATCCTGCACCTTATTATACCACAAACACTAGCATTACTATATCATACGCATTAATCTGGTCACCAGAGACATATCATACACACCCCCAAGCATGATTACCATACCACATACAGGGCCAGTCGGGCCAATATCATTCATGTATTCCCTTTCCATATGTACTACTAGAACTCATCACATATAACTAGTCTAAATTGGTATCATAGGATCCAATTCTCACACTATCATATTTGGTTTTTCTATCCCTTTAGGATTTTTCCAGTTTTTCTCTACCTATCGCTTATCAAACGCATACATACTACCAGGTACGTTAAGCCTGCTCACGCCATACATCACATATGGTTCCTCCTCTACTTAGGACATAGAGTACTGGCAATTTTAGGGGTTATAGGCCCAAATAGGTATCCCCCCTCCGGGCATTCTGCCTATCGTTTAGTGGTCCGCGAGGCCAACACCCCGCCTCAACGTTTCGGAGGTAATGCCCCCCGGGCCACACGTGAGTTAGCCGCCTCGCATTATAGAGAGGGTGCCACCTGTCACTCCCTTCCCCTGTTTTCTTGTATTGTCACCGAGAGGCCTACGATTTCCTGCCACTACGTCGGGTGGCCTCAATAACCCCTCGCGCCAACGCATAGATAGAGCCTCTCATAGCCACTTGGCAACTAGCAGGGCCTCACCTGTCACCAAAGAACAAGTTTTAATTTTTCGCCTATCCGGCATAATTAGCCTGCCAGTACATCCCCTCGGGGGGTTTTATGCTAACCATATACTTTTGTAATCTAGTATGTCTCAAGAAGGGGTAGAGGATTTCTCCATCCCAAGGACTCCGGCTAGAACCAACACCCCATCACAGGAGGAAGATACGGCTAGTCCAGCATCTTTCAGATCATGGACTATCCC